ACAATGTCCCCATTCATATATTGGTTTGATTGAATGATAAGCGCCTTATTCGGCATAATTATTTTCTCGATCTCGAAAAGATTCTATCTGTTTTTAAAATACTGCGTTAGCGGTGTTAATTATATGTAGAAAGTATCCATATGTTTAATGGTTTACGTCATTACGCTATACTTATCACAGTGTATTATGATGTAGTACTGCTGAATTATTAAGTCTTCACGTTAAGTATTTGTGTATTGATTTTGTTGCTTACACGTTCTTCAAAACGTCGCAAGTGTGACACACTTCCGAAGGATACCGTGCTGAAAAGTTCCTTACGTTATTTGCTCTATGAACGAGAACTATGCTGAATGATTATTGTTATTGAAGAACAATTCACATTGAGGATCACCAGATGAGACGGGACAGAGAAAAGTTTAAGGGCAAAAATGTGCCAATAGAGATATCTCTTTAAAAATGATAATGATACCGGATTAAAACGGTGAAAAATTACAGTCAAAAGAAGGAAACATGTATTACTCACTAGAATAATCCGGTATCAATTATTTTTAATGTGGTATATTCAATGGCGGTATCGAAAGCTTCTCTCGGACATCCGGGTTATATTTTGTCACATAGATATCTTTCGTCTGATTATTTCGTCAAAGAATCTGCAGTTGATAATGACCTTCTCTTAATATCAAATGTTTTCCTGCGTTAAGAAAAACGGACACCATATTAAATATACAGGGAGCATTAATTCAGTCTAAATGCTGTTATTTCCCTCTTCATTATTTTATATCATAAATTAGACATTTCCAGATGTTCTGTTCTTGTTTATGAGTCCTAATCTTCCGTTTAGGAGGTCGAAAACATGGTAAAAGTATTAAGCCATGCCTTCTTTAAGAATCTAACACTCCACGATCCTCTTGATTGGAACTTTCTCACAAAACGCAGTGAGAAGAACTGATCAAAGCAGCAAAACTTCTGCAATTGACCGCATTCAGGCAAAAATGAAGGGTCCAAGAAAACAGGTGAGACTTCCGCGGAAGGAAGACTTGTGTTTCTGTGAGGAATGATGAAAGAATCTAGAACCTAGAAGTGGATTGAGGCAGACAGATGAAAAACTGATATTTTCAAGTGCTCGTTTCCTGGAGGAGCCACATTATGATTTCACAGCCTTTCGGTTTTGTCTCTCCGACTGCTCGTAGTTCATGTTCATCATTTGAGACATATCCCAGGTATGAGGTAGTGCTGCATACGACGATCTAATCACAGACAGCCTGCACATCGAACTATTGGTCCTTCTTAGATGTTAGTGAACATACGCACAAAGCACCTATTCACTGTCGTCATCAGTCAACCGTAAGTTTCAAGACATGTTATCAACGCTCTTCGTTTCAGGCTCGTTCCTGCAAGCGCTGTTCACCATTCTTGCCATACAGTGGAGCGACAGCAGCTGTGTCATGACATTCGTCTGTCTGATCATTGCCTTCGCCGCTTTCCCATTTTCCGCCTACAGTGTCAACCAGTTGGACATCGCAGCAACGGTAACGGAAGTGTCCACTGTCGTGTGGCTACTACGTGTCTGTACCGTAACTGTTTCAGTACGCCAGCGTCATCATGGGCTTGTCGAATACGATCGCAACGATACCCGGAATGGTCAGTCCGCCGATCGTCGGCGCCATCGTAAGAGACGGGGTAAGAGGAGCTGTAGGCTAAAATTTTACTCATCGTCATCGCCTTCTGGTTCCTCATCATAATCTTATTCATCGTAGTCATCTTACGTTTTGATCAACCGTTTCGTTACTAGTCCTCATCGTTTTTATAGACTCCTTGGGAATGGATGATCGTGTTCTACATAATCGCTGGTTTCTACACTTTTGGCGGCGTCGTCTACCTACTACTGGCCAAAGCGGATACTCAACGATGGGCGAAGAAATCTCAGATCCACAATGGCGACTAGCGTATATTTGTAAACACACTGTTTTGCAACGCAAAACTTGTGAAATATATTTTTTTAAGTGATATAAATTGATACACGCAGTCCTTATGCCTGCTTTGACTTTACAAGCGGTCATCATTGGAAGCCACTTTTCAGCTTGAATGATGAGATTTAAAAGCATGCCTTAGGTTTCAGCTCAATGGCATGTACAGTGAAAGTTGTCGAAGCCATTCAGCACTGAGGATGCTATCCTTTTGAACAGAAGCAGAGGACTACCAGCCCAAAAAGGACTTCAACTTCGGCTCCGAAACTGTCCTACCAGGTCTTAACGTGTCTAACTCTCATACCATTCAGGGATCAGGGTGACGTATACTGTAATATGTGAGGAGGAGGTTATCGTCTGGTGGATGTTTCAGCACGTGCCTCAGTCCACGCAATGCCGTTCTTTCAGAACAATAGAGATATGCATATTGTTGCAACGGGCATGGATTGTGGCGTTGGATATATGGTCTATAATTCACGTCCGCGAGGTGATTCGTAAACTCTAGTTGTCGAAGGAGACGTCTTAACTTTAGTTTCTTCGCGTCTTCGACACTTGGAGCTCATCATAGAGCAGATGGCAGCCTGCAGAACTCAACGTTTCGTCCTCAGGCAGTTCACCCGTTGTTTTTGCATCGGCTTGAGGAACTGGAGGAAAGCTTCATCTTTACTGCTGCCATCTGAGCCGTAATTTCATTTTCAATGAATTCAAGGCGATTCCT